GAGTGACTTCATTACTGAGCTAAAAGGGTGTCTGGGGGCCATACTTTTGGGGTTTCTCCAGTCTCTGTCAGACCAGTAAGTCTGGTCTTTTTTTGTGTGTGTGTGAGTTAGAATTTTGTTCTACATTTTTCTCCAGCCCTGTCCGGGACCCTCTATTATGATCCCTGCCAGAACAGTTGTTGATGGTAGCTGGGCACCATCTAGTTAGGCTGGACTCAGTCTGGTGGAGGCTGTGGTAGTTGTGGTCCATTAGTCCTTTGGACTAATCTTTCCCTTGTGTCTTTTGTTTTCTTCATTCTCCCTTGCTCCAGACAGGGTGAGACCAGTGGAGTACCTTAGATGGCTTATGCGTCTTTTTAAAAGTCATCCTTCTCCATGACTCCAATTATGGGAAGACTGATGTTTTAATTTTATTGCTATTTTAATTTTTTAAAAAGAGGTTTATTAAAATATAATAATTATCCTTATTAATCAGTAACATTTATTGACCACTAGCTATGTGTCAGGCACTGTTCTAGTGACGCTACAGAAATTACTGCTCAATGTTAAATACTGTAGCACGGGCTTAGAAATCAGGGAAACCTGGCTTCAAATCGTGGCACTGTCACTGACTAGCTCTGTAGCTGTAGGCAAAGTTACCTAATGTTTCTAACCTCTGAATTATCTGAAAAATGGAGGCAATAATACCTATCTCGTATAGTACATAGCAAATGCTCAATAAATTCTAGACATTATTATTTTCTTGAACTGTGAAACTGATGGGAAAGGTATTTACAGTTTAGTCCACCTTGCCTAGTAGTACTGGTATATTATATCTCATAGTTACTTCAGTTCCCCAAATAACTTTACTTGTTCAATCTGTATTTATTGTACACTTATCATGTAGCAGAAGCAGTTCCTGCTTTTACAGAACTTACAGTTTCATGGGAAAACAGACATTTGAACAACATCAAATTCACAAATAAATGTTTAATGAGGACTTGAAGCACTTACTGATGAATATCAAAGACCACAACCTTCAGTATGGATTATACCTCAACATAAAGAAAACAAAAATCCTCACAACTGGACCAATAAGCAACATCATGATAAATGGAGAAAAGATTGAAGT